TCTGAAATCTTGCCAAGAAAACTGCAGGGACTTATCCAGCCAGTCATCAAGAGTCAACATTGACTTGAAGGGACAAAAAAAAAAAAAAGTGTGTGTGTGTGTGTTGGGATTGAATGGATGATGATGTCTGTTTTTGCACTCAAGAAATAGTGGATGGCCAATACTGGTGGAGGGGGAAGCACAGATCATGTATTGGTCAGACTGAGGTAAGTCCAAGTAAATTGTACCCAGAGGTAAGATTTTATTACTTAATGAAGTGTACATTCTTAAACTGGCTTGCTTTTTATGATGATAACACTTGTCCTACGGACTGTAGATGTTGTTGCTAAGTGAATCGCATCAAATGAACACATATAGAGGAAACTAACATGACACTTGGTACATGGGTTTTTTGGTCAGAGGAGTCTGCACTGTAATATCTGCCTAGTTCTATTCAGTTCTTTGTGTTATGGTAATCCACTTACCAGGGTTTACTGTATTTTCCTGAATGATCATTCTACACAGGTAAGATATAGGCAAGGTGTAGGCAACAAGCATCTTACAATTCTGAAGCAGGGATAAAAGCAAGTGCATTTCCTCACCTTCATTATGTAAATAAGCCCCCACAAATCTTCAAGAAATGAGGTCTCATTGTTAATCAGACATGAAATGTTTGTGGTTGTATGGAAAGAGGAAATTGCCTGCATACTATCTGAGAAAGACTGAAAGCAATTTCCACTCGTAAGATTTTGAAATAAATGAAGGGCAAGAAGTACCCTATGTTTTTACAGCTTTGACTATAAAGCAGCAAAGTGATAGGTGAACATTAAGGGCACATGAATATTGTATATTTCAATTGTGTTTAAATTCCACTAGATGGATACCTCAACACATGGCTAGTTAAGTTAAAAGACCTCAAGGAAAGAGGGAAGGGGTACTTCCCACTTTTGGCTATTATTTTTGTTATTACTATTATTATTATTATTCACACAGTTAGCCAGTTTTTCAGACTGGATCTGGCATTTTTATCCAGCCATCAAGTCCTTCCCAAGGACCTGGGATAGGCAGATGGTGTTAAAGGTATCATCACAGGATGTAAGCTGTTCCAAGTAAAGCTGCCTTTTGCAGTTGACAGATGGTGAGTTTGTCAATAGTTTTCAACTGGTGCTCCAGATGTTTCTGGATTGCCCCCAAGGCACCTATCACTATTGGTACTATCTTTGCTTTCTTTTGCCACAGTTGTTCTATTTCTATTTGCGGGTCTTTATATTTTGTGATTTTCTCCAGTTCTTTTTCTTCCTCTTCTCTTCTGCTGTCTCCAGGTATTGCAATGTCCATTATCCAGACTTTTTTGTCTTTC